TTTGGTTTTTTTGGCCACCCGGCCCGTACTCCGTAGGGTTGAACATTACATTTTTTAAATTCAATTTCCCGCATTTTATTCCCCCAAATCTAAATGCCCTCGATCCCAAAATTACAAGACTCCTAATAGTAATATTTGGAAAAGAATTAAAAATTGACAAAGATTCGTATATGGTTCTCTTGCAACGTTTCAATTTCGTGTACCTTCAATCTTCCATTCCAATTTAAGCTCTTGGGATTCTGGGTTTCCACTTAGCTTTATCTTCTAGGGTTTTCACGCTTTTTTTTGTTTCTTCTGTGCGTGAAAATTTCTGGGTAAAGAAGAAGAAAGAAGATGCACATAAAAGAGATATGTTTGGAAGGTTTCAAATCATACGCAACGAGGACGGTGGTGTCTGGTTTCGATCCGCATTTCAACGCGATAACTGGTTTGAATGGATCTGGTAAATCCAACATCCTCGATTCAATCTGTTTCGTTCTTGGTATCACCAATCTTCAACAAGTTCGAGCTGCTAATCTCCAAGAGCTTGTTTACAAGCAAGGACAAGCTGGGATTACTAAAGCTACTGTTTCGGTTACCTTTGACAATTCCGAGAGACACAGAAGCCCTCTCGGTTACGAGGAGCATCCGGAGATTACTGTGACTAGACAAGTAAGATTCATGTTTCCTCTTTCATTCTTCTTTAATTAGATAGTTGAAATTCCCTTCTGCGTTCACTCTTGATAGGTAGATAGATTCATGGGTTTGTCAAAATTTGAGACCTTAACCTTGAATTGTGAATCTCTTTGCCCAAAGCTAGGTCTGTTTTTGTTAGGATTACATTTGTGCATCAGTCAATTAGCAAAATTTGTGATGGATAGTTTAAGGCTATGGTGAAATGGTTCTTTGTATTTGCTCAAATTGATCTTTTGGCTGTTATAGATTGTAGTTGGTGGTCGAAACAAGTATTTGATAAATGGGAAGCTTGCACAACCAAGTCAAGTCCAGAATCTTTTCCACTCAGTGCAGCTTAATGTCAACAATCCACACTTTCTCATCATGCAAGGGAGAATCACCAAAGTCTTGAACATGAAACCTCCCGAGATTCTATCCATGCTTGAGGAAGCTGCTGGAACAAGAATGTATGAAAACAAGAAAGAAGCTGCATTGAAAACGCTTGAGAAAAAGCAAACAAAAGTTGATGAGATAAACAAGCTTTTAGATCATGAGATATTGCCGGCTTTAGAGAAACTGAGGAAAGAAAAAGCGCAGTATATGCAGTGGGCTAATGGTAATGCAGAATTGGATCGACTAAAGAGGTTCTGRATTGCRTTRGAGTATGTTCAAGCAGAGAAGATCAGAGACAATGCTYTTCATGGGGTTGAAGAAATAAAGGCSAAACTCACTAATATTGACGAGGAAGKAGAGAAGACACAAGTAGAAGTACAGGAAATTGAGAAACAAATAAAAGCTCTGACTCGGGCAAAGGAAGCCAGCATGGGGGGAGAAGTAAAAACTCTGTCAGAGAAAGTGGATTCACTGTCTCAAGAAATGACACGTGAATCATCAAAACTTAGCAATAAGGAGGACACTCTTGTGGGAGAAAAAGAGAATGCTGAAAAGGTTAGAGACATGACTAAAAGTGTCTTTTTGTTGTTGTCAGAAGTGTTAAGAGATTTTCAGCTATTTCTGACATCTATAACTTTCTACTTGCTGTTGCTAGATTGTTTATAATATAGAAGATCTGAAGAAATTGGTAAAAGAGAGAGCCTCTGCTGTGAAGAAGTCTGAGGAAGGAGCGGCAGACCTAAAACGAAGATTCCAGGAACTCTCCACCACATTGGAAGAGTGTGAAAAGGAGCACCAGGTAGTACCACGAAAGATTAATCTTCATTTCTTGCTAGATTATATTCATTTGTTTTATGCTAATTGGGTTTATGTCCCTTGATTATTAGGGCGTACTAGCTGGTAAGAGTAGTGGAGATGAAGAGAAATGCTTAGAAGATCAACTGCGGGATGCCAAGATTGCTGTTGGAACAGCAGGAACAGAGTTGACACAGCTGAAAACCAAAATAGGACACTGCGAAAAGGAGCTAAATGAGAGAAA